TTGACCCCAATTAGTAAAGTCCAATCCCTGCTCTGCATCTGAAAGGTTCTTTAGCCTACTCTGGGTGTGGTGGTGCACTCCTTATGGAGAAGTTCTTTAGCTCCTTCCCCACACCTAACAGCTAGTTCTCTGCATTAGAAAGGAAGATGAGATTTACTCTAGATAGGATTACCACCAAGGGATACACCTTGCCCTGGGTATGACTAATCCCTTATAGATTTGTTAACTGCTGCTCATTGTCTGTAACCTGGCAACTTGTCCATGAAGTGTCATGAACATTACATGTGTAATGTCTCCTTGTACTATAAATAAAGACATCCAGTTCATCTGGGCGGCACAGGTTGCTTGGGCTACCTAGGCTCAGGCTGCCTGTGTCCATTTCCACTCTATCTTTTTGTCTCATCTTTTCTGCTTCTTCCATAATAGTGCCAAGCCCTGGGGCGGACGCCGACAAAATTTTATAGTTTTTTTTTTTTTTTTTTTGAAGAGGTTTTTGCTATAGGGCGCATGTGCTTGCCAGACAGACAGAGACAGACAGAGAGACAGAAAGCGAGAAATCACCCACTCCCTGGGGGGATGGCCACGCCGCAATCCCTTCTCCTCCAGTCTCCTCTCGGGATCTTGGGCACGCACACACATGTGCCTGGCATGAGTTTTAAGCCACTGGGTTCAGGACGCGAACCATGGTCGACTACGTGGGAGTCCAGCGACTTAGCCATTATGCTAACTGCTGGTACCAAGATATTTTATAGTTTTATCAACTGGACTAGGGAGAAATGTTCACCTGTTGAAATATTCACTTTGTAAGCTAAATAATGCAATTGAATGTATAAAAGAAAATGAAATAAAAAATGAAAAAAGAGAAAGAAATGATGAATTATATATTGCCAATTGTATTCTAAAGAAAATTGTGAAACATCAGCAAAGATTTAGCACTTCATCTGTTGTAATTAGCCAGGTAGACCACTTGGTATATCCCTGGAGGGGGTCAACAAATTCTCCGTTTATGGTAGAATGATTACACTGGGGAATTTAGAATGTATCATATGACAATAATAGTTTTGACAACTTGGAAGTTTACTTAAGTGAAGAGTCAACTCAGGGAGGATTCTGTTGTCTTCAAATATTTGAAACTCTGTCCTATGAAAGAGGAATCTAGACTGGCTCTGCATGGTTCTAAGAAAGACAAGTAGGGTCAATGGGAAAAACCTTAAAGGACAACAAAATTTGGACCAAGATAAGAATTTATCAACAAGAGATGACAAAAGATGTAAGAACCAGCCTGAAGATGTGAAACTATGCCTTTAGGAAAGTTAAAACATAGACTTCAAAGTGAATAAATCATCACCTCTTCAGAATGTCATGGAGTGGATTAAATTGCCTAACTCTGAAGGTTTATCAATATATATTTTCAGGAAAGAAAAAAATAACAATATCAGTAGTACTTACTAGAAAGTGAGGTACTTGCTATTCGTCCTGCCCAAAACCACAGGTAGGACCCCCATGATAGTTTAGACTAAAAAAAAAAAAAAAGAGAGAAATCAAGGTAGATTAATTAATAAAAAGGAGTGGTGACTGCAGTCTTTTATGTAGAGATTTCAAAATGCTTTATAATACGTTCAATTTTCTCTCTCATAGATGAGAAAATGAAGATTCTTGAAATTATAAGTTGCTGGGCCAGTCAGTGACCTATCAGTTAAAGTGAATCGATCCCACATGGTCGACTGCCAGGTTTGAGTTCTGGACCCAGCAGCTTGAAAAACATGCCAGGCATGTGTGCATGCATGCCCAAAATCCCAATAAGAGGGAGAGATGGAATAGAAGCAATTGCAGTGTAACCATTCCCTATGGGAGGGTTGCTTTCTCACTTTCTCTCTCTCTCCAGGGAGCACACATGCCTTCTAGCAAAAATAAAGAGTAAATTGCAAGTTGCCTATTCATGGATCTAGAAAACAAGCAAAAGAACAAAGACTTAGCTTAAAGTGGTATGTTCTAATAGCTTTGGCCAGCTCAGTCGCTCATTTATTCAGCTCATGTTCACCAATAGTGATATTTTACGCTTACAGACTCGAGTGTTGAATTCGTACTCTGTTCCTCTTTTTCTTCCTCCTCCTCTGTGCTATATTCTTCCATGATATCTCCATCAACAAAATGGATGATCCTTTTGGGAGTAGTCTTTTTGGAAGTTTCTTTCCTAGATCTGACTGGAAACTGTCTTTCTCCATAAGGAAACAAAGCAACTAGTAAATTTAAAACAGGCAGTCTTAAGGCAAATTCCCCTGGGCAGTTGAGACGGCTGAGAGGTATCTACTTATTTCCAGGGATGGCAAAGACAGTGTCCCAAGGTAATCGCAGCTGTGAGTTCAATTCTTCAAATCCAAGAAAAGATTGTTCAGTTCTAAACCAAAATGAAGATTCAATTAGCAGTGAAAATGTAAACTTTGGGTCTTCAAACAAAAATTTCGTTGGGAGTTTCTTGTCCTTTATTAACTGCAAAGCCCACCACTGCTGATAGAAAGGGGCTATTATCCTAGAGAAGTTTCCAATTCCCTCAGTAAATATTGAAAGGGTATATAGAGAATAAGTGAGAGAACAGACTTAGCACAGACAGGAGAGAATATCTGCAGAGTATATATACAATAAAAGACTTATTTTCAGGTTATATTGGGTTGTTGGGAAAGTCATGACGCATTTTTGCATAGAAATACATTATAACTTTCCCAACAATCTAATACATAGAACTACTACAATTTAACAAGTTAAAAAAAAAAAAACAATTTAATTAAAATAGGGGCAAAAGACAAATAGAAATGTTTTCAAAGAAGACTTACATACAGCAAATAAATACATGAAAAGATATTCAATGTTATTAGTCATGAGGAAATCGAAAATATAATGAGATATCATAATGTATCCACTAGAAGGGCTAAAATTAAAAAAAAAAAAGTACAATACCGAAATGCGTAAAGCAATTAACGCAGTCATACACTGTTAGTGAAAATGCAAAATGGAACAGCCACTTTGGAAAACAGTTGGGTATTATCTGAAGTTACACAAACACTTACCAAGTAATGTTATAATCCCATTCCTAGATATTTACTCAAGGGAAATGAAAACGTATGTCTCCCTAACTATTTCTATGTGAATGCTCATAATAGCTTTGTGAGAGTCCCAAACTTGAAGCAATTCAAATGTCCATTAACTGGTGAATGAATACACAAAAGGTGGTATATCTATCTACTGAGTAGAATAATGCTCAGCAACAAAAAGTAATAGACAATAAATGTAACACCATGAGTGACTCTCAAAAGCAATATGATAAATGAAAGGAGCCAGACACGGCATAGTATATGATTTCATTTATGTAAACTTTTATAAAAGGAACATTTATGGTACCTCTAGTAGAAAATAGGCCAGAGTTTGCTGGAGGGTAGGGGAATAGATTAACTAAAAAAGAATAAAAGAGAACTTTTTGGAGAGATGGAAATGTTCTAAATAGATATGCGATAGTGGTTATTTGTATACATGAACCAAAGTGATAACTTTACTGTATTTAAATGACATCTTAATAAAGTTAAAAGCTTTGGAGCTAGACTGCCTAGATTTAAAATTCTATTACTTAATATCCTTATGCCTTGGTTTCTTCATCAATAAAATAACAACATAGAATGATATAGCGTATAAGATTGCGGTTTTTGGCATAGGGTGCATGGGTCACCAGGAGAGACAAAGAGGGAAAGTGAGAAATCCCCCCAAGGGGGATGGCCACACTGCGATCTCTTTTCCTCCATTCTCCTCTCAGGATTTTGGGCATGCATGCACATACCCAGTATGATTTTGAAGCCACTGGTCTGAGACTCAGACCATGCAGTTGGCCATTGGGGGGTCCAGCTACCTTAACCACCATACCAACTGACTGGCTGATTAAAAAATAATATATTGTTTTCAATTTTATTTATTTTCATGAAAGAGTGAGATAAAGAGATAGAGAGATAGAGAGATAGCGTCTTCACCCGATGATCCATAGCCAGTTTCAGCTGGCCCAGGCTGCAAGCATGCACATGTATGTACTTGGCTCCTGGGTTTGTGTCCCAAGACCTTTCCCATGAGGGTCCAGCTGCATGACCACTGTGCCACCCTCTGGCCTCAGACAAAAAGAATAGAATCCCCAGCTAAACAATTACCAAGATAGAGTAAAACGATATATTTAGACCTATAAGAACTGAGAGTTTACTATTCCTGCCTTTTCACTGAAAGATGAATAATAGAAGCTTGTACATCAATAAGAAGAGAACTGAACCAGAGGTAAGTGTAAGAAGCAAGAAACGGAAGTGAGTACATTAGTGAACAGGATGACAAATCTTAAGAAGTACTGACTATTAAAAACTCTCTTTGGGGGCCAGTCCCGTAGCACAGGAGTTAAGAATTGTGCATTGTAAGGATATCCAGGGCAGCCCCAGTATGGTGTCTAAGGTGACTGGATCCTACGGTGCAGACTGGTCCCAGACCCAGGGGCTTGAAAACACTCCAGGCGTGTCTCAAAATCCTGACAGATGGGAGAAATGGAGGAGAAGGGATTGAGGCATGACCATTCCCTAATTGAGGGGTGCTTTCTCTCTCCCTCTGGCTAGCACATGCACCCTCCAACAATTTTAATAAAGAACAAAATACTATTTTCATGGAGAAAGTACAAAGAAAAAGGATAATTATATATTAGATTTGACCTTTTGTAAGCATTGTTTTGTAACAGATTAGGTAAGATAGGTTGCTAAGTGTACATATAAACAATTTAAAGGTAACCAGAAAAACAATGGAATTAGAAAGTACAACTTAAATGCAGTAGAAGAAGTAAAGAAAAGAAACAACTGATCAAAGGCAAGGAGGAGGAGGAAAAAGGAGCAACGGAAAAGCATCATCAATAGAACGAATGCTGAAGAAAATATTAGCAAAAATTCCAAATAAATCTGTAAACATAATAAATGTAAATTAGTGACCAGCCTACTATTACAATTAAGACTGACAGATTGAATTTTTAAAAATATTTAATAAGCAATACAAACATGATTGAATACACACATACATGTAAACTTAAAATACATGTTAACATACATTTCTGTATATGTGAACAAATCACTAATTCTTAAAAAAAAAATCACTAATTCTTACTGATACAACATACGTTAACGCTGTTGTCAAAGGTCAGAGTTACAAAAGGCCCGTTGAGAGTTACATTTGGCATCCACGGCCCCTGCTCCACTCAGGGGCCTCTGAGGACACTTGAACAATACACATGGTTTTCCCTAATTAGTGCCAATGTATCCCAGAACAGCCTTAGTAAGAGACAGGAAGAAGTGCTACCATTTAGTTCTTGATACCAAAGAAGAGTGAAAAAAAGAAACCTGTTTTAATGAGATATTTAAGACCAACAATATGCTAAGCCTAATACTATTATAAATATTATCAGAGCCATTAGAAATAAAACACATTCTACAGTAACCATAAAAAGCAAATGAAAATATTTTTTAAAAAAAGACTCACCTAACTCCTCTGTATTTTCTTTCATTGCGTTAAGTAGTTGTGTTTGGTGTTGAAAGTAGTACAGTCTATAACTAGAAGTTGTTCGATAGACAATAAATGACTAAAACTAGGCTGAGACCAAACAGAGCCATTGAAAATGCTGACGTGGAAGTGTTCTCTTGTGTGCGTCTTACTGGGAGGAATGTGTTTGAGTTGTGGGCAGGTCTGTGTATTTACAGAATGTATTCAGCATTAAACTTGGTAGCTCTCAAATGTATATTTATACTAGAATCATTTGAAGATTTTTTTTCATTTTTTAAAAAAAGAATTCATTAATTTAGCTTTATTTATTTATTTATTTCAATTTGACCAGATAGGGACAGAGGGACACAGAGAGAGAAAATATAAGAACGCAAGCTGCCAGGTCCAGGACTTGAACTGTAATCATCCATGTAAGAGTCCAGTACCCCTAATCACCATGCTACCAGCTGGCCTCTGAAAATCTTCATAAAAATTCCAAAGACAGGCTGTACCCTGATCACTTAAATCATAATCTCTGGGGGTGAAACACAGATGTCAGTATTTTGGTTTTTTTTTTAAGAATTATTTTATTTAACTTTATTTATTTATTTATTTTAATTTGACCAGAGAGGGACAGTGTAAGAGAGAGAGAGAGAAAGTGAGAAAGCAAGCTGCCAGGTCCAGGACTTGAACCACAGTTGGCCATGTGGAAGCGCCCTTAACCGCCACTCCACCTGCCAGCCCCGAGTATTTTATTTTTTTAATTGCCAGAATGCATGTGTACTTGTCAGAGAAAGAAAGAGAACATTCCAATGGATGTGCAATCCTTTTTCCTCCATTTCTCTTTCCCCTCAGGATTTTGGGCCACTGGGCACATGTGCCTGGTGTGTCTTTCAAGTCTCTGGGGTCAGGTGGCCATGTGGGGTCTGGCTCCCTTAACCACTGCACTATGGCGGCGGCAAGCATCAGCGTTGTTTGAAGCTGCTCAGGTGATCCCAGTGTACAGTCAAGCTTGAGAACCTGCATCCTAAGAATGAGAAAAGAAGTACCTTTTACATTGAAACAGAGATTTGCAATTTCATCATTTGATGTATTACACAAAGCTCAAAACTCAGGCTAGTTCCATTCACCTTGTCTATTTTTACCAAGAAGATTTCTAGCTTTCTACTTTCTGAGCTCTCCTCCACCCCAACCTAAAATACTGAAATATCAAAAGTTTAAAATTAAGGCCTAATAGCCTCATGGGAACCAGCAGTTAGCGTAATGGCTATGTCGCTGGACTCCCACGCAGTCGACCGCGGTTCGTGTCCCGGACCCGGTGGCTTAAAACTCACGCCGGGGCGCGTGTGCGTGCGTGCCCAAGATCCCGAGAGGAGAATGGAGGAGAAGGGATTGCGGCGTGACCATCCCCCCTGGGGGGTGATTTCTCGCTTTCTGTCTCTATGTCTCTCTCTGTCTGTCTGGCGAGCGCACGCGCCCTACAGTGAAAATCTCTCAAAAAAAAAAAAAGTTTAAAAATAAGGCCTAATAGCCTCATTATCGTCCATTTACTCCTCTTACGCCCATCCAAATGCATACACCTACAAACAAAACGAAAGATGCAGACACAAGCACCCCTTATTCCCTCACGTCTGGCTCACCCCTATTATATTACAGACTGATGATATCTGTTGGCTCTGAAGAAAATACTAGTCTCTGTTCTTCGTGATAACAGTGTTGTGTATTGAATAGACATACACCTCTAATTCACAGGGCTCCTAGGGAGGCTGGGAGAGAAGAATGGAGCTCACAGTAGGTTTAGTGAATGTTTGTCTGCCACCTAATGGGCATTTCAGAATATACCGTGCAAGATTCATCTTTGTAATTACAGTACCTGTCGTACAGAGAGACTCAATACTGAACAGTTTGGAATCTACTTAGTTCTATTTGCAAAAACCTTCAGAACATTGTCGACGTCACAGCAAGTACCAATTCATGCATGTTTGTAAGTGACTTCAGAGGACCAAATACTCCCAAGTTTTTTTTAACCTCAGTTTAATTCTTAAGACCACCTTTACCTCTTATTCATTTACTTATTTTTTTTTAATTGCTAGAGTGTGCATGCACTCACCAGAGAGAGAACCCCCCCTCAATGGAACATTGTCACACTTCAATGTTTTTTTTTTTTTTCTGCCACTTCTCCATCCCCTCAGGATTTGGGGCACTCACACGCATGTGTCTAGCATGTTTTTCAAGACAATAGGGCTGGGGTTAAAATGGTGTCAGCTATGTAGGATCCCAATGCAAGATGCTGAACCACTGTTCTGAGGGGCGGCCTTACCCTTTACTTCTTAAAAACTCCAAAACTAGGTTGTTAAGGATAAAACCTAGGTATGTGTTAATTAGCAGATCATATAACTTCAGTGCCCTTTCAGCCTTGGGGTGTCTTGGAGCTCAGTGATTAGACTGCTTCTGTGTGTGTGTGTGTTATGTGTGTGTGTGTGTGTTCACGTGCTAGAGAGTGCACGCACTAGCCAGAGAGACAGAGAGAGAGAGGAGAGAGCATCCCTAACACCTCTTGAGAATGATCACATTGTAATCCCATCTCACTCTCCTTTAGGGATTTTTTTTTTTTTTTTTTGAGAGGTTTTTGCTATAGGGTGCATGTGCTCACCAGAAAGAGACAGACAGAAAGCAAGAAATCACTCCCCAGGGTGGATGGCCACGCTGCAATTCCTTCTCCTCCATTGTCCTCTTGGGACCTTGGGCAGGCACTCACACATGGTTCACCTGAGTTTAACCTACGAGGTCCGGGACTCAAACCATGGTCGACTACATGGGGGTCCAGTGACGTAGCCATTACACCAACTGCTGGTCCCTCCTTTAGGGATTTTAGCAAGCACACACATGTGCCTAGAATATTTCTCAAGCCCTGAGGTCTAGGGCTCAAACCATGCAGTTGGCCATGTGGGGATCCAGCTGCCTCAATGGAGCCAGCATTCTTCTCTATTCTCTCCACTCCCTTGACATCTCCTTTGACTCTGGGGCTTTAAACACTATCAACATACAGAAGAGTCCAACACCCATATTCTCCAAATCAGACATGTCCCCTGAATCTCAGATTCATAGAGTCAACTGCCTACTTGACATGTCCTTTTGAATGTTGAATAGACATTTCAAATCTACTGTGTCTAAATCTTGGCTCCTGCCTTCAGTGAGCAAAGGACACCCCCGACCCCCAGCACACACACACTCACACCACACATCTCCTGGCAGTTTTCCCGCAAGGGCAGTCTGTCAGGAAAACTGCTCAGGTATTTCTGGAATCCCAATACTTCTCACTACTCCCTGCCACTACCTAAAGCTCAACCATCAGCTCTCACATAGATTATTGCAGCAGCTTCCTAATTGTCCCCCACAGTCTATACCCCAAAAGCCACGATTGGTCAATTATAAGTCAGATCATGTCAGTCTCCTGCTTTCAAACTCTCCAGTCTGTTTCCCACTCACCCAGAGTAAAAGCGTCCTTCCAGTGGCTTACATGGCTGGGGCTCTCTCTGGGGCTCTCTGACCTTGACTTGTGCTCCTCTGCCCACGGACATCGCTCCAACAGTGGCTGCCTTCTGGTCTTCCTTAACCACAAAGCACTCTCTCCCCGCAGGGACCCTCCTGCTGGCTGCTCTCACCACCATTCTTTCTCCCCTCAGACTTTGCTTTGCTTTCTTCAGGCCTTTAATTCAAACTGAACCTACCCTGAGTTCCTCTTCCAAGGCAACTTCCATTCCCCTCATCACCAGCCTCCACCAACTCCACATTCGACCTCCTTTTCCCTTCTCTCCTTAGCATTTACTGACATTGAACAGCTCCCCTTTCCGTCCCTTCTTGCCTTGCCTCTCAGCAGAAGGGGAGGGGTTTTTACATTTGTTCACTGATGTATCTTCTGTCCCCGATGCAGCTGGAGCTTAGTATTTAATAAATGAAGCATTATCATTTTAATAAATGGGGGAAAGATACTATATAATCAATTCAAAAAAATCAAAGGAGAGAGAACAGATTCGTAACTGTCCTTACTTCCTGCTTTTAAAATGACTGTCCTTCAGGGGCTGAAGGTGGCACAGCAGAAATGTGACACTCTGCGAGACTGACCCACATGGGAAGTTCAAGTCTAGAGACCTGAGTAGACAGGCCTGCGTGTGCCCACAGTTCAGGGCCGGCTGAGGTGGGAGGTGGATCATGGCATCAGGACAGTGTTAGAATCCTCTTTTGCTCTTTTTTAGACATAAACTCTAATAAACCCACAAGGTTAAGAAATGCTGCATTAAAATATGAGTATCTTTCATTTATTATTTTTCTCATTGTATCAGTAATCATTTTCATTAACCCCCCCCTTACTGAAACACAGCATCATCTACATCAAGAAAATAACACTAGCTCTTCCTCTTGACATTGAACTCCAGAAGGTGTAATACCTAACATTTTCTACAGTTCTTTCAGTTTTCAATTATCTACAAAATGCTTTCATTTCAAATTGGACCAGGTTAAAATGCAGTAAAGAACCAGCACTGGTTAACACAAGGGTTAATCTGCACTGTTTGCCAGGCTGCTGCTGGTCCACCTTCGCACTCCCACCTCCCCGAGGACCCCTGGGGTGTACAAAGGTCAGACATCTGGGAGAGCCCTGCTCTTCAGATGCTGAGCTTCACAGCAGTATTCACTACCATTTTCTAGGTCACTTCATGAGGGAACTGCCTGCTTCACCAATGACTTGTCTAATGTCCTGCTGTGTGTGTGTGTGTGTGTGTACATGTGTTTGGCAAGGAGCAACAGCAGAGAGTAACCAATCCACTGCTGCCCCTGGCGGACATCTGGCAGAATTCTTGCTTCTTCTTTTTCAATAATTCATGACTATGTACCCAATTATCTACATGTCTGTCACAGTGGGCTATTGGCCAACTTCTTCTACAACATGGTGGATGATATACAAAATTTTTTGAACATAGAGCCTTGGAGCTCTAGCCCCTTTATGTCTTGCCCAGCTAGCTACCCAGAAGGCTATAGTCTTGAGACGAACTACCTGAGAAATTCCACATTAGAGAATCACAGTTTAAATTCCGGTGATCAAACATATTGAGCAGTGTACTCTAGGAGCGCTATGTGCTCACACCTACCTCAGTGTATCACAGGCTTTAGATACACTGGACGGCAGAAACTGATAGCTCTGGTCTTTTGGATAGGCACGGCTCAAATATAATTTTCTATTACAGTTCATAAACTTTCCTTCCATTTGGATTATTTTAATCCCTTTTAAGTTTACTAAAACATTTCAAATTAAAAGTATAAACTTTAAGCAATATCAGAAGTCTATTAAAAAACACTCTTTTGACACAAAGTTAAGGTAACCCAAAGTGACACTGCAAGCTTATATTTATACACATGTGAAAAGATAAGAAATGCAGTATTTTCCAGAGCAAGAATACTCTGGAAGATGAAGAAATACTTCTGATACAGTTTTATTTTTGAGTACATTTATACAACACTGAAAATACCACCTCAGGTTTTTAAGGTACAAAGTTTCCTCCAGATTATGCACATTGATAATAAGCTCTCTGGCTTAGTGTACCACTACACAAATACTGCATCATACTACATAACACTCTGCATGAGATATAAGCAGGCCAATCAAAATCCCACTTAGAGGAGATGAAGAGGCTATAGGTATAAATAAACAAAAGTAGAACTTAAACAGGCCAAGGAGTGTTGGATATTTAATGAATGCATGAAGAATACAACTGATGCAAACGTTATCTATTATTTTAAAACATCGTTGTGAAGAATTAAGATTTTGCATTGTGCAGGCTGAGTATCCCTAATCCAAAATACTTAGGATCTGAAATGATAGATTTTAGAGTATATGCATATATACAAAAGGAGGTTATCTTGGAGATAGGACCCAAATCTAAACACAAAATTCACTTGTGTTTCATGAACATTCTATATAACCTGATGGCAATTTTACACAATCTTTTTATAGGGCAGCGTTTTGGCTGTGACCTATCACATAGGTCAGCCCTCAAAAAGTTTTGAATTTTGGGGAACCAGCAGTTAGCGTAATGGCTATGTCACTGGACTCCCACGTAGTCGACCGCGGTTCGCGTCCTGGACCTGGTGGCTTAAAACTCAGGCCGGGTGCGTGTGCGTGCGTGCCCAAGATCCCGAGAGGAGAATGGAGGAGAAGGGATTGCGTGGCCATCCCCCCTGGGGGGTGATTTCTTGCTTTCTGTCTCTATGTCTCTGTCTGTCTGGCAAGCGCATGCGCCCTATAATGAAAATCTCTCTCTCAAAAAACATTTTTTTTTGAATTTTGGAGCCTTTGGGATTTTAAATTTTTGGATCAGGGATGCTCAGTTTGTATTAATGATCTACCAGCTAAGTAAGTGTAAAAATACAAAAAAGCCCAAAAATTCCAATGAAATCATCAGTAAAATTATTTTATTTTCATAAATAAAAAGATAACTCACTATACAAACAACACCTGTAGCAGAATATGTTAGCTGTCACTGCCTGGTATGAAATGCCTGCAAACACATAGTTACAGCTCTCTCTAACCTTCATGCAACCTCTCTACATTTGATAATTTCCCAAACCTTCCAACATCATTTCGGAAAACACTGCATATCCTGGGATATTTCAGTTACTCACTGTCATCTCTGCAGAGTCAACCGAGTATTCATTACCTGCTCATGGCAATGCTGCCCACCCTTAATTTACAGTAACACCAGCGTTTACTGCATTTTATAGAAGCACTGAGCACATTACACGTTTCCGTTTCATACACGGTAGTATAATCCACATAAAAGTCGATGTGTAAATTTAGTTACAAGGTTAGCAGTACTAGTACCTAAGATAAATCGGTCCCACAGGCAAAGAATACAAGTGCTGGCATCAAGCACTCTTTAAAGTTTTGTCAGAAAATGGCATACAGCAAACGGATGAGTAATTTTGTACTAAGAGTCACACTAAAGACAGTGAAATTTAATAAAGTATTTTTTCTTAGATGCCAGAATAAAATTAAGTGTCTGTTATTAACTTACCGATTTTGGAAACCGCTGCTTCAAATAGTAAAGGTTATACTATAAGCAGTAATTAGCATTTTCACATATTAACAGAAACACCTCAAAAATTCTATGTAGTTTCTTCAAAGGAGTATATGCCCTAATATACCGTTTAACTCATCTTTTATTTGAATGCAATACTGATTCAGATAGGTAAACCTAATCTTCATAATGAAATCTATATTCCTACTCCAAACCTTATGTAAATTTTACTATTTCTCAAAGGGTTGCTGTGTGAATTGAATGGTTTATCTCATTAAGTGGTCGGCGCCATGCCTTGTACATAGTAAGCTCTCAGTGTACACTATTATGATGATTTAAGTGAACCAATCTGTCATTTATAATAGGAAAGTTAGCTAATGCCCTAGGAGAATACTGAAAAATTAAATCTACAGACATGTGACTCTGCGTCCACTATTTCTCAAATCTGTGTATGTACTAAACTGTTTCAAATATTACAATCGAGTTACTGTATCTGTTCGTTCTCTATGATTTCACTATGGCCTTTGGCCTAAAGCAACACAATTCTGATAGAGTATGTATATTAGAAAACCATGTAAAAACAATGTACACTGAAATCAGGTAACAAAAGCATTTTCCTATTTCTTTAACAAAGTAGAGAGTTACCAGGTAATCCAGGACAACCTATTCTCATTTAAGTTTAAACTTTTTTCTTTACACCATGCAATATTTGATTTCTTCAAAAACATTTTCCGTTCTTACTATCTTCTTTTTATAGAAACATTAAGAGCCATTACAAAGTTCTGTCCTCTACGTAAAAAAACCATTAGAAAAGGTACTTGTAAAAATTGCTGTAGGGTTATGGAGACTAAATGAAGAACGAGATTACTATAATAGGGAAAAGTCCTTCAAGGTCTCAACAAACCTATAAACACTGGCATTTGAGTAAGTTACAGATTCTAATATTCCTAAGGGATTTGGTATGGAGGTTTTGCGATCTTGAGTGACTTTTTCCCCACCAGGAAAGATAAATGACTCAGACGTAACATGCATAGGTCGCAATTACTACAATGTCAGGGAAATAAACACGGTCTGTTAAAAAACTTATTCCTTTCATCCTTCTGGCTTTAAGAAAGAAGAAGGAAAATAGAACTGTGGAGACAGAAAATGAAATCACATGACTGGGGCCTACAGTGTATTAACCTGAAACTTGCTACTATCCAGTTGGTGGAGGGGGAATAACCCAACCTCCAAATACATCCATTATAGGCACAGTAAAATCTTTCAATGTTGTCCTGATTAAAAAGGTATGCAAGGAAACAGAGCATGAAACATCTCCACTGGATTAAAAATCAAGAACAAATAAACTGAAGGCATAATTCCTCTGAATGTAATAATTATTCTCTAGGTGTCAGATAAATCATTTTAAGAAATATGAACTGAAGTTCCATGATTCTTCCTATCTACCAGCAGAGCACTTCTAAGCGTTTCAGGAGATGTAGCATCCAGTATCCTTTTGAGGTTTGATATCTGGTTCTTTCACAGGTTTCACATCTTCTTCTGGTTTGGCTTTGGTCTAGGGAGAAAAAAACACAGGGTAAGTACAAAAACCAAGATTCGGAAAATAAACACTAGATCTTTCCCACTTTTAATTTTTAAAAGATGTGATATTAAACCACATAACAATGAGATTACAGAACTACCCCAGAATCTGTATGTCAACTGATTATAAGAAATGATTAGAGGGACCAGCAGTTGGAGTAATGGCTATGTCACTGGACTCCCATGTAGTTGACCGCAGTTTGAGTCCCAGACCTAGTGGCTTAAACTCACACCGGGCACGTGTGCGTGCGTGCCTAAGATCCTGAGAGGAGAATGGAGGAGAAGGTATTGCGGTGTGGCCATCCCCCATGGGAAGTGATTTTTCGCTTTCTGTCTCTCTGTCTCTCTTTCTGGTGAGTAAATGCGCCCTATAGCAAAAACCTCTCCCCTCTCCCCTCAAAAAAAGATTAAAAAGCTACATTTCAGTGAAGATGCAAACCTAGACTGGGAAGTAAACATCAAGGAAAGGGCACTCCTCCTCCACACTCTGTGGGGGAAGAAACTGAGTGATGAATCCATGCAAGTGGAACCTTATAGTTTGGAAAAAACTCATGATAGCAACAGGCTCCCTCGTTGGGCATTTAGAGACTGACTAGGACATAAAGATGCTTTTTAAAAGGAATAACTATTTTAGTTTGAAAAGAAAATTACATATAAACAGCCCAATTTCAAGAAAGCAGCTAGAGCTGCAAAAAATTCCCATTCTTATTGTCACAGTTCCTTAGCCTGTTGGTAGTTAAACCTCTATATTTCCACTCAATTCACCTTTAGATTTAGAACATCTACATGTACTGGGTTATCGGAAAAGTCATGATGTATTTTTGTATGCAAAAATTATTTTTCTGAGGATCTAAAACTTAGATATGAATGGGTATAAACATGCTTATTTTATCCCTCTATGACTTAAGGAATGCTGAAATTTGGTCAAATCTTGAAATACCTGACATATGCTAAACCAAAATGAACATAAACATGAATCTTTTTGGGACCAGCCGTTAGTGTAATGGCAATGTCGCTGGACTCCCATGTAGTCGACTGTGGTTCATGCTGGGTGCGTGTGAGTGCGTGCCCAAGATCCTGAAAGGAGAACAGAGGAGAAGGATTGTGGAGTGGCCATCACCCCTGGGGGGTGATTTTTCGCTTTCTGTCTCTCTCTGTCTGTCTGGCAAGCGCACGTGCCCTATAGCAAAAACCTCTTAAAAAAAAAAACCCATGAATCTTTTCTCCCATATTCTTCTTAAAGGAAGCACTAACAAGCTACCCAAAGACAATAACGTGCTGAAAACAATCCCAGTCAGTTATGTGGAAAAATCAGAAGACATTTAAGGCCCAGAGGTCTTTTCAGGCTGTTCCATGATTGCACTAAGCATTATAATTAATTAACACCAAGACAAACGTAAGTATCTATTTAAACAAAAAAATGCTAACTCTGAATTCTCTGTAGACTTTTGTGAATAGGAGGAAAATACTCCATCTCATACCGAGTCATCCTTGGGTCTCTTGGTGAGATCAAACGCAGCCAGCGCTTCTGGTGTCCAGTAAGCATTTGTAGGAGGAAATTCAAAAGGCACAGGCTCTACGAGACCATAATTTGCTTTTAGTTCCAGCTGTGGGGCTTCTGTTGGAATTTTTTGAAAGTAACTGTAAAAAGGAATTTAAGTGACAATTCATTCACTTACATAGTGACTATTCGAGTACATAATATGGAAGAGGTCCTAGCTGAGAAGATCACAATTTAATGATAAAATAAGATTTCTCTGACTTTCAGAGCTTACTTACTTAAGTCAGTAAGAAAGTCAAGAAACCTTGTCAATTACCATGCTATGTGACTGAAACTATGACTGATGCAGAAAGCTATAAGTAACACAAAAAAGAAGCAATTAGCCCAGAAATGGAGCTTCAGTGACTCTTTCCAAAGAAGTGATTAAAGAGGGCACAGGCATGTTCAAAGAAGCGAAAAGCCCAGGATAACCAAACTCAGACTATAAAGTGAAGAATGTAAGGAGAAAAAAGCAGGAACAAGACTGAGGAGGGACCAGCAGATGGCATAATGGTTACATTGCTCCCACGTAGTCGACCACAGTTCAAGTCCCAGACCCGGTAATTTAAAACACTCTGGGCGGAACCAGCAGTTAGCGTAATGGCTATGTCGCTGGACTCCCACGTAGTCGACTGCGGTTCGCGTCCCGGACCCAGTGGCTTAAAACTCATGCCGGGTGCATGTGCGTGCGTGCCCAAGATCCCAAGAGGAGAATGGAAGAGAAGGGATTGCAGTGTGACCATCCCCCCTGGGGGGTGATTTCTCGCTTTCTGTCTCTATGTCTCTCTCTGTCTGTCTGGCGAGCGCACGCGCCCTATAGTGAAAATCTCTCCAAAAAAAAAAAAAAAAAAAAACGCTCTGGGCATATGTGCGTGTCTGCCCAAAATCCCAAGAGGAGAAGGGACTGTGGTGTGGCTATAACCCCTGGGGTTTTTTTTGTGTCTCTATCTATCTCTTTAGCATGCACATGTGCCCTATAGCAAAAATCTCTCTTAAAATAAAAAAAATTAAAAAAAAAAAAGACTGAAGCTACCAACCTCCATAGGTGGTGATCTAAGTCTGAACAACAGTGATTTAACAATGGAATACTGCTGAAAGGACTAGAGAGTAATGAGAGAAAACTAATTTTCTTGCTTTACAGGTAGCTGAAACCAGGGTGAAATGAATATGCAAAGGAGTTGGGAAGACAAATAATATAGGCAGAAAGAATGGCAGGGAAACAAAATTAAGTTAAAATCAGGACAAAATGGGAGTATCCTGATAAAGTGGGTCATGGATGTTTAAACTTTAAATCTTCTATATGTACCTATCATAAGTAAAACTAAGTTAGGTTGTATACAACTCTTTATCACCAATTTAAAGAGAAAATGCTAAACTTAAGTGCATTTTAACATGAAATCTTTGACAACAGAGATGAACAAAAACTGTTATTACAAAAATATTAATATCTTAACATGATAATGATAAAACGTACTAATATTACTAAAATAGTATTAAGCTGTACTCACATAAACCCATTTTCTCTCTGACATTTTTCTAGAGTGTTCTTCACCAGGTTTCCAAGTTTCCTGAAGAACAAATGCCCTGAAGGTTTCACTGTCGGTCCAGGTCCTTTGGTTTCTCCATAGTCTTTGCATAGTGCTTCTGCCTTAGTATAAACTGCACGTGTAGGGGATACAAAATTGTTCGATTATGCTTAATAATGTCTTATTTGTAATACCCTAAAAAGTTTTAAAGCAGATACAGATTTTTATTGCTCCTTACTTAGTATAAGAGCAATATAAATAACACAGAGTGGAAGGTGGCTATCTCTGTAATTTAGGTTTTTAAAACTTTTTTTCTTTCCTCCAATTATTTCATCCATTCCCGGAACATAGGCAGAATCCCCATATTCACCTATTTATTCCCTCTGACGGTAAAACATTTGTTTCCAAAAGGGGAGTTACTATTTTGGCAAATTACTTACATTTTTCTGCTTCTTGAAGAGACCTGATTGCTTCACCACATTTATCACTAGCCAACAAAGTCTGACCATGATAACAGTAAGCCTGATAAAGGAAACACATTTTAATTCATTCTCTCCTCACATGAGGCTTTCCACTGTTATTGCTTTATATGTGTCAGATAAATAAATGCCTTTATCACTGTTTGAAGTGTCAAGTTTACTTGAGTAAAGCGATTCCCTCACTCTGTTCACATAAAAGGTGGAAAAATGTCAAGTTTTGAGTGAAAATAGCCTTGTAACCATGCTCTGAGAGCAAGAGTTATCTGCTCAAATTTGTTTTTAAAATGAGGACATAGTAGATAAAGGAGGAAATTGTGTTCATGCAGAGGAAGAGGGAGGAACTGTTTTGAGGTTAAGGACCAAAGAGGTTCTAAGAGAAATGTATCATCCTGAAAGTTTAGTCTGTAAATGGCTACATCAGTGCAGAGACTGAACACGGTACCTTTGAAAACAAATGATAAAGTCTAAGAAGTAAGAGTATTTACTTAGACCTGAAGAAAGTTTATTATTATTATATCTCTAACATGATATTCTAATTAACAAATTAAGGTTAGTAGATATAATAAACTGATAAGTAACTTCCATAACAGTGCTTTGTGATAGTTCTTTACCAGATATATCGTGTAGAATGCCTTGAGACCAGAGTCAGTGAGTATCTCTCTCCATGGACAGGATGAAACGACTGAGAGAATGCTCATAGCGTATGCAGAAGGTTCAAGCCTGAAAGTGGGCTTTGAACTAAATAGCATCACTATAACCCAGTTCTACAATTCTCCATCATCTCTTTCCATTGCTCTTTTGTTTAGTTCACAATGGCTGCAATGACTGTCAGTGAACATTTACTGAGAGTGGTCTATTATTTATCAAATGCTAATGAGGAGGCTTATGAATGACCTAGTACTCAAGGGGCTGGAAAGACAGTAATTTTCATTGTTTCTAGGGTTACAAATACTTACGTAAGCTGTGTAGAAACACATTTTCAAGTGAAGATATTTTCTCCATTTAGCAGAATAAGCAGGCTCCAAACTGGATAAAGTATGATCTAAAGTTACATTTTAAAAAGCAAAATATAATTTCACCCTCATTCACTAGAAGGCTTTCAGCTCATGTGATCTGCTCCTAAAAGCAGAATGCCATTCAAGTCTAAAACTCAAGTATTTACTAGGGACAAAAAAAATCCCCAAATGCCCTAAAAGTGATGTATTTTCCCATAGCTACATTTTAAGCTACATAATAAAACTGGTTAAATACCATGGTAACTTTTGATTTGGTGGTTAGTATAATGATAAAATAGATATGACCCAGAACTTACAAGTAAACACTGTATTATTTTGTACTTTAAAAATGTAATACAGCAATGCAAAGAGTAGTCTAAGTACCCAAGTGAGAAACACAGAAGGTACTCTCGTTTCATCTGCTCTCTTCATCAATCAATACTGTGTAACACACACACTTCCTCATTCACATAACCTTCTCCCAAAGGTGTCTCAAATTTACTTCTTCCTTCCCATTCTTCTCCTTATATCTTGGTTAAAATTTTCATTATTTCCTCAATACATGGTAAGACTTTCTTCCTTTTTTTTTTTAATTTAGTAGACCTTAACTGAGCAAAAATGATTCATTTCAAGCAGTACCCAGAATGGTTTCCAAGGAACTCCAGATAGTCACGTGGCAGGGTAACATTTATGTGCAAGAAAGGGAAAGTGGAGTACAAAAAATGAAAGTGAGGGAAAGAGGCAGAGAAATATTTGACGGGTTAAAGTCTGATGCTTGCCTGCACAAACAGTTTCTTCTGTAGTGTTGAAGAGTCGGCCTGCTACCACTCCTTCACAAAGCAAGACCATCTCTTACATTGTAACTACAGGGACCTTTCTTATATTCAAATCCAACCAAGCTAGACTTGCTTTATATCTAATGGATGCCAAATATCTACAGAATACAGGCCAAACTTCTTGGGCTCACAAACCAATTCCTTAGCTCTAACATGTATACTTTCTCAAACCTCATCTCCTATCACTCAGCCTTGGTTTAGCTAAGAACAACTGTGACAGCCCCAGAACGTACTAAATTTCATACTCTAAAGCTTCCAAGGAAATTTAAAACTTCTATTTAGATTTCAAAATAAGGCTAAAGCACCACCTTCTAGAAAGCCTTCTCTAGCATGCCTAGGTTGTTTGTGTTATTTCACTGCTGTAGCATCTCTTCTCATATAATAATTTGGTTATGTTTGTCTCCCTCCACCAGACATTCTATTTATCTCTACTAAGCAACTAAAATAATAACCACCTACTGTAGTTTGAATATGGTTCCCTAAAATTCATGAGCTGAAATTTGGTTGTCACAGGATTAACAGGATAAAAACTTTTAACTATGGGATTAAAGGGGGAGTTTCTGGGAGGTGATCATGATTAAGGCCATTAGGGTTGAATCCTAGTGGGTTTATAAGGAAAGGAAATGAGACAGACATAAGTTTTCTATCCTGCTGTAAGATGCTATGTGCTGCCCTGAGACTCTGTAGTCCCCACCAACAAGAATGTGGACGTCTGAAACTGTAAGTTAAATAAAATTTCTATTCTTATAAACCACCCAGTTTCAGGTATTTAGTTATTTGTGACAGAAAAATGGACTAAAACACTTCCGTAAATAGAAACATATGCACCTAAATAAGTGAATTTTAAAAACAATACACTAATCAGGAGAACTAAGTTTTAGTCTTAACCTTCCACCTGCTAGCAGTTCAATTAGGAACGGGGGAGGGCTTCTGTTTTCTCTTTCCTTCCACTGCTCTCATGTGCACACATGCACACTCTGGCATTAAAAAACATACACACAGGGACCAGCAGTTAACGTAATGGCTATGTCGCTGGACTCCCACACAGTCGACCACAGTTCGAGTCCCGGACCCAGTGGCTTAAACTCATGCCAGGCGCGTGTGTGTGCGTGCCCAAGATCTCGAGAGGAGAATGGAGGAGAAGGGATTGCAGCGTGGCCATCCCCTCTGGGGGGTGATTTCTCGCTTTTTGTCTCTCTGTCTCTGTCTGTCTGGCGAGCACACGCACCCTATAGCAAAAACCTCTCCAAAAAAAAAAACCCATACACATATACACACATGCAAATTATGGGCTGGTCACGTTGACTCTGGAATTCAATTTCTTGTCTAGATATAAATAATAACTATAAGGTTATTATCAAATCTCCCCATTCCTCTCTCCCCACAAAAAAATTAAAAGCAAAAAAGTTGTATCACTATATATGGCTAAAAAGTATAACATGAGAGACCAGAAAGGTGGCATGGTGAAAGTACTGGATTCCCATGGCTGAATGCAATCTGAGTTCCAGACCTGGCGGCTGGAAAATCATGCTGGGTGTGTGTGTGTGTGTGTGTGTGTGTGTGTGTGTGTGACCCAAATCCTGGAGAGTAATGGAGGAGAAGGGATTGTGCCATGGCACCCACCCTGGAGGGTGATTTCTCACATTTCATTTGTCTTTATCTCTCTGTCTCTGGTGAGCACACATGCCCTATGACAAAAACTTAAAATAAATGGGGGGAAAAAAAAAGAAATTTAATGAAGTACAGCATTGTACTTTCCCTTATATGTTATGCAGCATATTAGCTGTGAACAGCTTTAATTCCTTCTTTTTTTCATTTTAAATAAATAATAAAACAATCTGAGAACCTTTTTTGTTTTGTTCTCTGTTAAACTAAGAGCAAATAAATCTGAAAAATCTAAGAACTAAAAATATAACAGAATTATAAACTTACCAGCTTTCTGGTAGAAATTAGCTGTTTCATACGCCAGTGCAGCAATCAGTCCAGGAGCATGTTTTAATTCAATTGCTCGAGCAATTGTTACTATAATGAAAACAAGATAAATTGGACATATGGTTACATTTCCTTTCATTCACCTTACATTCAATTATATTAGCAAAACACTAACAAAATTGGAGAGAGTTTCATATAGCTTGTTAAAATTTTTAAAAAAATTTCCTATAGGGCATGTGTACTTGTTGGAAAGAGACAGAGAGAGAGAAGGAAGTGAGAAAGCTTCTTCCAGGGGGATGGCCACACCACAATCCCTTTAGCTCCATTCTCCTCTCAGGATTTTGGGGAGAGAGACAGACAGACAGAAACACACACACACACAAATGGGCATGTTTTCCAAGCTGCTGGGTCTGGGACCTGAACTGTGCAGTCAACCTTATAGGATCTTAACCACCACGCAGCCTGTGCCATGGTGTTAAAAATTTTAAGATAAAAAGATTTGGAAAATCAAAACATGAACTAATAAAACACAGAGCTTGTTGATTCTGATAAATTGTGCTTAAATAAATCATTAGCCAATTACAAAGTTAACCACAGAAAATTACTACTATCGAATAACACAACATAGTAGGAAATACTTTAAGAACACTGGAGTTTAGGGACAGCAGATGGAGTAATGATTATGCTGTTGGACTCTCATGTAGTCGAATGAGGTTCGAGTCCTGGACCCAGTGGCTTAAACTCATGCTGAGTGCATATGCGTGCATGCCCAAGATCCCAAAGAGGAGAAGGGATTACAGTGTGGCCATCCCCCCTGGGGGGTAATTTCTCACTTTCTGTCTCTCAGTCTCTTTCTGGCCAGTGCATGCGCCCTATAGAGAAAAACCTCTTCAAAAAAGAAAAAAGAAAACACTGGAATTTGAAATCAATTTTAAAAGTCTATGAAGTTTCTTTATTGTTTTCACATACTTTCCATTATTTCCTGGTGTTGAAAAGTGAAAACTTCAAGGTGAGAAAACAATGGAAGAGGAAAAAGAATGAGAACACAGAGAGGAAAACAATGAGTTAAAAAATTAATTTTGGGGTCAGTCAGTGGAGTGGTGATTAAGGTGGCTGGATCCCATAGGACTGACTGCATGGTTCAAGTCCTAGACTTAGCAACTTGAAAAACACAGCAGGTATGTGTGAGTGCATGCCCAACACCCCAAAAGGAGAAACAGAAGGAATTGTGGCTTGGCCACCCCCTTCTCACTTTCTCTCTGTCTCTCTCTGTAGTGAGTACTCAATACTATCTAGTAAAGATTTTTAAAAATTAATTCTATGTTGTCAGAAATGGCATGAAATCAAAATTCTCTTTGAAAGAGTCATTAACTGTAAGGACCTTTTCTGTTAAGAATGAATGAAATAAATGCTAAAGATAAAATTATTCCTCAGTATACATTTCTTGAAACCTGAAACCCAATTCCAGCTAATTCTAACTTTAAAATGAGAAATGCCAATGAAGACTTTCTTTAAAAAAAAAAATTGGGCACTGGCAGGTAGGGTGGTGGTTAGGGGTGCTGAACTCCCTCATGGCTGACCTTGGTTCAAGTCCTAGACTTGGTAGTTCTACTTTCCCTCTCTCTTTCTCACTGTCTTTTTTTCACTCTCTCTCTCTCTGTGTCTTTCTGGTGGAATTAAAATAAGGAAGGAAGGAAGAGAGGAAGAAAGGAAGGAAGATAAAATAATTCTTAAAAAATTTTTAACAGTATATAGGATACCTTCTTGAGCTTCAGCCTGACATTGGATAATATAAGCATCTATGAGCCGTGCCTCTAAATCTCTTCCTTTCTCTGCAGGTGTAATGAGTTTGGGGATATGACTTTCCTAAGTAAGAGAGAAAGAAAAAATAAAACTAAGCAAAATTTTATTTTAACCCTTTTAACTCAGTTGCTAGAGATGAAGAAAACAAGAGTTAGAAGATACTTAATAGAAATTTGGAGTACCAACAAAAACTATAAAAATAGGGAGCAATGTGGGGAACAGCAGGTGGTGTGGTGGTTAAGGCACTGGATACTCCCACATGGCCGACAACAGTTCGAGTCCTAAACCTGGTGGCTTGCTTTCTCGCTTCCTCTCTCTCTCTGTCTGTCTGACTCTCTCTGGTCAAATTAAAATAAATGAATGAATAAATACAATTAAATAATTCTTAAAAAAAAAAAAAATAGAGCAATGTAATAGGCTTACAGAGAACACAAGCATTTTTAAAACCAAGCATTTTTGCTATTTTTTTTTTTTGAGAGATTTTCGCTATAGGGCACGTGGGCACGTGCGCTCGCCAGACAGACAGAGAGAGACACAGAGACAGAAAGCGAGAAATCACCCCCCAGGGGGGATGGTCACGCCGCAATCCCTTCTCCTCCATTCTCCTCTCGGGATCTTGGGCACAAACGCACACGTGCCCGGCATGAGTTTTAAGCCACCGGGTCCACGACTCGAACCGCAGTCAATTACATGGGAGTCCAGCAACATAGCCATTACGCTAACTGCTGTAAAACCAAGCATTTTTAAGTATTAAAAATTCAAAAGCAAATTCTGTTCATAATTAATTGCTTAGATATGCAAGCCATACTTTCATCTCAGAAAATACTTAACTGAAATAGATGAACGAATAATTCCTGTTTGTATGATAGCCTGAGCTGTTCATCACATTAATAATTAAAGATATAAAGAAAACAATGCTACAATTTTATACCTAATTCAGGATCATAGCTTTTTAATCACCATAAAAATCATCTTATTTTACTGTGAAGAAACCTCCAATGTTCCCCAGGAAGTCTATGGTAAACAGTGGTTTAATTAGAATGCACTAGAGTGGAATTCCGGAAGACAGATTCTTGGTTTTTCTGGATAGGGTCTTGCTATATTTCCACTCTCCTATCTCAGCCTCCTGAGTAGCTGAGTCTATGAGTACGCACTACTATGCCTGGCTTGAACCTAGGCCTCTTCTGTGCAACGCCTGCAGAGCAGCAGTATCAACCAGTATAAGAAACACAAGAAGCACAATCTTTCTCCCAATTCCCATCAAATCCCTAGCAATTGAACATAACTGGAGTGCAAGACTGCCCCTCTAGTGTGTGCACAGAGAGTACAATCCGAAGTTGCCCTATTTTGAGAAATCACGACTCCTCCTGGAACTGCTGTAAAGAACAGTATGAAATGGCAAAAATCTTTTCTTTTCCCTCTTTTCCTAAGAGACAGAAAAATAAGTGGTATATTACAATCTGACTTTCCTAACTGTAAAGGTTTTGGTGAGACTAAAATGGAGACATTTAGCATTCAGTAATTGGTTGCATATGTCAATAAGGCATTTAACATAAGAAAAATATAATGAAAAACATGTTGTGCACCACCACAAGTTACTCAATAATTAAAACATTAATTTTTGTTTCTACCTTTAAATGTTTAAAAATCCCAGCTGCAATTTTTAAGCTTCGATGAACTTCTTTTGCTTCATCTTCTGTTATGCTGAAACATAGTTGCAACATTAGTTAGAGGATGAATCCTATTTCTAGTATTAAAACAAACAACTAATGCATTAGTGTAAAGCCGAAATAGTCATTTGTGTTTCTCAACAATTTTCCTCCTTCAGAAAAATCTAATTTTGACACTTAAAGAAAGTAACAAATACACATGAAAAACATCCGAAGAAAAGATACAAATGAAAAAAAAAGAGATCCTAACTAGAGGTAAACTGCTACCAAGTCTTCGTTTTTCCTCTCAGAACAGAAAATACCATTCCTTACTGCATGCTCACTTACAAACCACATGCACATACAATGGTGGTTAAACTCACTCCCCTGTTCTTGTTTCATCACTTAGAGATCATTTTACACCATATATATACAATTAAATGGTTGTATATTATTCTATGTATGTATAGGCCATAACTAATTTGCCAGTTTTGTATCGCTAGTTATCCACTTTAGCTACTGTAAAAATTATACTTCATTTTATTTTGCAGTTCTTTAATCTTTCAAACTATCTTTTCACATATTTCTGCATAGTAGAGTTTCCAAAATTCACTCTACATAGACAGCTTTAAAAATACAATTTCTCAGACTTAACCCCAAAGAGTGAGAAAATCTGGGATGGGGTCCAAAATTTGTATTTTTAGAAAAGCCTTTTGTATTTCTTTTTCTGTGACTTGCTATTTACGGCCTTTGATTATTTTCTATTGATATAATAGTCTGTTAATTTGTAAGAGTATACATTATAAAAATAAATAATTTATCACATTCATTGCAATGTTTCTGACCAAACCTGGCATTTGTTTTTGAACTTTGTTTATGGCACTTTAATGTAGTCAAATATTCAGTCTTTTTCTTTACAGTTTCTTAGTTCAGTGTCCTATTTAGAAAGATCTCCCACATGACAAAGCTTATTAATTTCTTTTCCCTCTTAAAGACAAGCTTCATAATTCTGATATTTGGAATATTAACATTACGAAACAATCTGTCACTTACCCACAGTGGTACTTCTTAATCAGTATCCTATTAAGTAATATACCTCCATATATTTAAAAAATAACACACATGCATATAACCCTCCCCTTGCAACTTACTTTTCTTTTCCAGCAAGTCTTGATGCATACTTGGTATACCATAAAGCTACATTAAATCCCATGGAAATTAATTCAAAAACAGCATCTTGTTGGGCACTGGAATTAATAAAATTACTATTTAGTTCCATCAATGATGAGACATTGCTACATGAAGCCTATTTGACATCTGATCAAAAATTACAGAACTATATACTAACTTATTTATATAAAAGTGGTTCTTCTGTGTAATGCATAGTTTGGAGGTAAGACACACAGGTTAATTTTCAATAAATGGTTAAATATAATGGCCCATTGTGTAATATATACTACATAACAATGACGAAAGAACAGTAGTTCCCAAAGTTTATTGCACATAGATGAGCTTTACAGATTTCTGAGACTTAACTTCAGAGAGGCAGAAACTCTGGGTTGGGGCCTGGAATCTGTATTTTTTCTAAAGTATTCAGTTGATTCTAAAATGCAGTTCTTATACTACATTTAAAAGGGGGGGGGAATTCAGAGGTATGCCAGCCCTACATGGCTGGCCATGATTTGAATCCAGGCCCAAGTCGCTGGGCATAAGGGTGTACATGCCTCAAATTGTGAAAATAGGGAGAAATGAAAGATATGGGACTGAGACATGATCAAGCTCCATCAGGAGGCAGGAGGGTGTTCTCCCTCTCTCTCTGGTGAACACACATACCCTCTAGCAATTAAAAAAAAAAAGAGGGGAGATTCAGAAGAGAGATTATTTCAGGCTACAATGATTAAAGAAGGCTTAAAAGTATATTTTAAAAAATCCAAATTGTGCCTTGACAGATGACCAGAAGGGAAGTAGGAGGACATCCCAGGTGGGCGAATGATGCTGTCAAAGCACAGGAAAGTGCCATTTTTCTCATATAAGTGGCCTGGCCAGCGTGATGGGTGCAGATGGTATATAGAAAGACGCAAGAAAAAGAAGGACAAAAGCCAAGCTGACAGTAAACTGTGAAGGACTTTGAATATCAATCCAATTAGAACTGCATGAAGTCCTCCCATCCAGGCAGAAGAAGCCACAGGCCTTCAGGACAAGGTTCCACATGGCTACTGTGAACTAGATTTTTAAGGGAATGAAGACTTTCTACTAATAATTCAGCCTCCAACAAAAGAGCTAGCGGCAGAAGAAGCCACGGGCCTTCAGGATAAGGTTCCACATGGCTACTGTGAACTAGATTTTTAAGGGAATGAAGACTTTCTACTAATAATTCAGCCTCCAACAAAAGAGCTAGCGGTAGGGAGCCCCCCTCTGCGCCCCCAGCCTTCTCTCTCGGTCTCTCAGTTCCTGTCTCTCCCTGCTTCTGTCTTCCCTTTTTTTTGGGTAATATTTCCTTTTTACCCCCCCTTTTTTTTTTAAAAAAAAAGGTCCAGTTTTTCTCTGGCTCTTAGCTCCACCTTCTTTCTTGTTAATTTTCACTCTGCTCCTCCCATCCAGGCAGAAGAAGCCACGGGCCTTCAGGACAAGGTTCCACATGGCTACTGTGAACTAGCGCAGTTTTGTATTTTTGTATTTTGTATTTTGTGAATTTTTTTAAAAAAAGAACAGTAATTACAAATTTTTAATTTTTTAATTTTTTTTGTCTTTTTTTCTCTTTTTTCTGTCTCGTTTTCTTTTTTCTTGTCTCTTCACTCTCCAATATCCTTTCAGTGTGTTTTTAGACAGATCTAAGATCACTGTAGCTAAACATTCAAATACTAATAGGGTTGAAATATTCCCCACTATCTTCTGAATCTGCTGCACCAGCAAGCACAATAGAACAGCAAAGAGATTCTGGATCACCTCTGTCTGCTTGCTCCTTAACATTAAGGCTGAACCTCCAGAATTTGAAAGAAAACACAACATTCATCAGATGACAAGAAATCACCGCCGGATCACGAGAAACATGGGAAAACAAGAAAATACCTCTCCTCCTAGGGAAAAGAGTAACTCTTCATCCACAAGCAGTTCGGTGAAAATCATGGAAATGTCTGATAAGGAATTCAGATCATTCATAATGTCTAAGCTAACAGAGATGGAAGAGAAGAGAGATAATGAACTACTAAAGAGAAAGGAGAAAGAGATTGACGAGTTCCAAGAGATGAGGAAATTCCTGCAAGATCTAAAAGTGGAATTACACACTTTACAAAAGACTCAAACCGAACTGCTAGAGATGAAGTCTATAATACAAGAAGTCAAAATCTCCCTGGAAAGCATTAAAAGCAGACTAGATCATTCAGAAAATAGAATCTCAGATGTAGAGGAGAAAATGGCTGGCCTAGAAAAATCCACCATGAAGGCTGAGAAAATGGCACAAAAATTTGAGAATAATATGCGAGAAGTACTGGATACCATCAAACGTCCAAATATCCGGATAATTGGCATTCCAGAAGGTGAGGAAACCCATAAGGGCATTGATAATCTATTCCAGGAAATCCTGCAAGAAAACTTTCCAAACCTAGAGAGGCATTCAAAGATCCAGTCCCAGGAAATACAACGGACCCCAAATAGAATCAACCCTAGAAGATCTTCTCCAAGACACATTATAGCCAGGTTGACCAAAACTGCAGACAAAGACAAGATACTAAGATTAGCAAGAGAAAAACATCAAGTTACCTACAAAGGACATCCCATCAGGCTAACAGCAGATCTCTCATCAGAAACAATAAAAGCGAGGAGAGAATGGGAAAATATATTCCAAGTGTTAAGAGAGAAGCAGTTTCAGCCAAGAATACTGTATCCGGCAAGATTATCTTTCAGGTGGGAAGAAAAGACAAGAACATTCTCAGATAAACAAAACCTGAAAGAATTTACCAGCACCAGACCAGACCTCCAAGAAGTTCTCAAGGATGTGCTGTATCAGGAAAACTAAACGCAGATACATGGAAATAAGAGTCCAAAAACTGAGAAAGTAGCTAACTTAATCATAGGGACAAGTCTGGAGTTGAATACTATATCCCAGAATTTAATCAGGAAAATTGAACCAGAACAGAAGATAAAAGTATATGAGACTGATAGGTTCATGCACCTACCATTTGAACAGAATCCTAACCTGTTTCCGGGCTTTAAGCAAAGTTCCTTGGCGGTTCTTTGATTTAAGTTAAAACTGGTTTTCTTAGTAGTAACGAGTGAACTCACCTTTGAAAGTAGTTAGGTTATGTAGGAAATTGTGTGATCAATGCAATGTGGGTGGGAAGGGAATGGAGGACAATTTTGGACACTGGAGGTGGTGTGAGAGGAGGGTGGGAAGGGACAGAGGGTCAGAAAGAGGGGTGGAAATAATTCTAGCAACTAGAATTGGAAATTTATTTTTTTTGTAATGTGCATGATTGAGTCACTATGCAGTGTGTACTGGATGGGAGATCACATTTTGTGTGCTGTGATGATGCCTAGGGAAGGAATGTAAATTGAGTTACAAAAAAAAGTTTCAGGAAAAAAATATATATCTATTCAATGACTGCAGTAGGATATGTAGCCCCAGTTAGGTGCTACTTTATAGGATGCATAAAGTTAGACTTGTGCTCATGGAAATGTGTGTGTCACATGTGTTTGCTAGGAAGGTATTTGGATTGATGAGGGTCTTTGGTGATTCAATAAAATGTGGGGGGGAAAATGGTATAGAAAGCAAACATAGATAACAGAGACAGTGTGGGAGTAGAACAGGAGGTGGCAGAGGGGAAGAGATAGGGAACCAAGGATGGGGGGAAAAAAGCAAAACATACAGAAAACAAGAAATGGAAGATCATTTGCTAATAACATGTTTGTTGATGTGCTTGATTGAGACAATACACAGTGTACTCTGGATGGAAAATCTCATTTTGTATGCTGTGATGTACAGTGAATGAATGCAAATAAATTGGAAAAAAAAAATAAATTCAGATTAAAAAAAAAAAAAAAAGAAAGAAACTTATGCCACAAATTAGAGCTTGTTACTATTGTAAGGGAAGACTCAACTGGAAAATTCAAGGAGTTAAAATTTGTTCATAACTTATCTCAACTTTTGAAAAATGTAATCCCTTATAAATCCCTATAGCTTAAAAAATTTTACTACAGCTATGTAAAATATTGGTTGAGATCTGTTTTTCCTTTTACCACATATTGTAAACTAAAAGGCTCAATAAAAATGTATCTATTGTCTGGAAAAAAATTAAAAAACAAAAGAACTGCATGAAGAGAAAGATCTTGCAAACAAGTATAGTTTATACCTTGTTTCTTTCAGATTCTATTACTAGGTATGACATAAATGAGAAAATATATTAAAAAAAGGTATCAATACCAATATATATTCACCATCATTCCATTTTTATAAGAGCCTGAAAATTCCTCAGACATTCTCTCCTTTATCTCAAAGCAGAAGTAACATACTTATTTTACACTTGTAAATATGACTTACAGAAAAGTTAGCCCAAGGAAAAAAGAAACTAGAACCCTGACTTTACTTTGTAGTTTTTATTTCATTGTCATCTCTGTCTTACCAGAAATGGAGATATGAGTTATAAATAAACTTTTTAAAACAGTTTGTCTATGTATTCAACTTAATACAAAGTTTAACAGTGTGCTGTTTTCAGCATTGAGAACTTGCAAATGAATTACATGTGGTGACCTATGGGCTTATCTAATTTATAACTTTATCTTTAATTAATGAGACAGTTTTCCTAATTTATGTGAAGCCCCAGGAATAACCCTCTCTTTCTTTTCACCCATTTTTTAAAATTTAAAGCTGCCTTATTCCAAAATACTCCATTTCTATGGCACCACATCTAAGTATTCGCTGAAGTATGTATAGTTGAAAAAGTGTTTGTCAGAACAGGTATACTCACAGTACAATTTCTGTGGAACAAGTAGCATTCAAACACAAAGTAACCTAGACTTCTCACATGTGCTGAATATTCAGTATTAATTAAGGTCTTCATCACATAAATTTTCACTGTCTCATAAACATACTGGAAAAATGTTAAATAGCTTTCTATTATATAGAAATGAAACTGGTATGGGGGAGGAGAAAAGTGCCACATTTATATAATGCAAAATATCTTGCAATTTAAGTTTTGTAATGTAATAATGATAAAGAGGTCTGATTGAAAAAAATATTTTTTTAATTAAAAAAAAAATCCTTAATTTTGGATGAAAAACAAAAGTGTCACATTAAAAACCAGAAGAGTGAAGTGCTGGAAAACTTTAGTATTCCAGAGTATTAACATCTGGAAAGGATCCACAGTCCTGACTTCCTATCCCACTGCGGTATTCTACATACACTACTCCTAAGGAAGGAAGGAAGCTATCAGTGAATGTCTTACCAGATACCTGACATTTTATTACCCACTTAACAGAAATGTTCTTATTTTGTTCCTCACAAAATCCTGTAACTCAAATATACAGTTGAAAAAGTAGATGTCCCCTCAGTTGAACACCAGGGTTGATTTAAATACATATAAATCTAACGTTCAGACTCTTTCCATTATAGTGTGTGGCCTGCCTGCTCTGATCTTTTAATAGTCTCAAATTCCTTCCTATTTCTATAAAGTAGTAATTCTAAAATAAACCGAGTAAAGGTAGATGAGCATTTAAGTAATCTAATGTTAAAATGTTAGCACCAGGCCTGCCCTGTGCACAGTGGGTAAGCACTGTGCAAAGGAGAATGGATTCCACAAGGCCAAGCGGGGTTTGAATTCTAGCTCGGGTGTGTGCCCAGGATCCTGACAGGAAGGAGAAGTGGAAGAAGGAGGACTGTGACCTGATCAGATCCCACTGGGAGCTGCTTTCTCTCTCTCGCTCTCTCTCTCTCTCTTTCTCAAGTGCACACACTCTTATGAATAAAGAAAAAAATGTAGCACCATTATGATTTGTTACCTGTTAAAATTAGATCTACTGTCAACAGTTTCAAGTGACTGCAGAGAAAGCTCTGAGGGAAGTTTTTGAAAACAGCAGAAATAATGAACAGAAATAGGAAGAAAACAAATATTGTGAATAGCATATGAAACTGGGCAGAGGAGGAGAGAGAAAGACTAAAGATACCTTACCTATCTATCTGAAAAAAGAAAAGTAAGAGAGAAACCAAATTTCTTAGTTTAAACATAGTCAAAGACAAAATGTCAGATTTGGGTTCTCAGTTCCTAAACTATTCTTCGTGTGTTATTAAAAGTTGAAGCTGTTCAATTCTACTTAACACATATACTACTCTCAAAAACAAATCTGGTCTGGAAAAAACAAATTGTATTTTTACTAAATAGTATACATTAGGATTTAGGTCAAATGCTTTTAATTAATTTCCTGATGAGAGAAAATGCTGATAAGACCTGTATTTTTCTTTTTTTAAATACAGAAGCCATGAATTAACCATTGGCTAAATAGTTAATAACTGGTTTGGGGCTGGCAGATGATGTGGTAGCTGAGGCGTTGGACTCTCACATGGCTGACCGCAGTTTTGAGTCCCAGATCTGGTGGCTTGGTTTCTCACTTTCCCTTTCTCTCTCTTTCTCTATGGTCAAATTAAATAATAATCCTCATCATAATAATAACAAATAAAATAATACCTGGCTTCAATTTAGTACTAGGTGAGCATTGCTTACCTTGGAACCTGTCCTTGTAATGTATCAGTCCACTTGAAATTTTGAATATAACGTAATTTGCTTTCTTGGGTGGATTCATCCAATGAATTTATGAAACCTATTTTAGAAGAGATATCAAGTGTTCTATTTAGAAAAGTTTTCAGATGGTTACTTTTGCAGGTGTCTAAACAAAATCTCTAACCCTTTCTACATCACACCTGCTCTTGAGTTAACATGGAATATGTACACATTTAATTTTCATAGATTACATATAACGCTTACATTCTCATATCTCTGAAACTCAAGTGTACCAAAGAAAACAGCCAAAAAAACTATTCAAATATGGAAAAGTGTAAGATTTAAATGTGAACTTCTGCACCATTGCTTTATAAACTTTATTTATTTCTTCCATGACAGAAACAGTATTTCAAGAGAGTCCTGACTTATGATCCACTGTCTGTATTCAGCCACCCTGGACCATGGGCATGCATGTGGTCAACATTCTCAAGGAGTTATCCAGACCTGAACTAGGAACCTTCCTACATAGGATTGCCTTACAGAGTGTTGCATTTTACCACTGCCCCACTGTCTGGCCCTAACACAGTTTTTTTTTTTTTTTTTTAAGAAAACTCAGGAGTTCATATAAGTAACTAACCTTGTAAAAGTGAAAAATATGAATCTGCAGCATTCTTCATCGTTTCTGGATTACAGCTCAAATCAGTGAACAGTTCAAGAAGTCGTGCCCTGGATGATCTCAACTCACTTGCACAAGACAGAAATAAATAGTAAAGTAAGCTATGCTATTACAATGAGTCTGTGTAAAAGCAGCTTAAAGGTTTCGATGTAAAAATGGCTTAAAGGTGTCAATATAAAAGCTTTAAAACACTGCACACATATACACACTTCCTTTAATGTATACCAAATACATGGGAATTAATTAAATTAGGACTAATACTAGACATAAATGAAATTTCTAGTAACAATTGTTTTAAAAGTTGTACTTAAATAAGCTCAATTAAAGGAGAAAATTGTGGATATAATTATATAAAAAAAACATACGACACATTTTATAAAACATACGAAACAAATAGGCTCTGTTCTGTAGCACAGCGGCAATGTGCAATTCAAGAGAAGCCAGATCCCACATGACAACCAACTAGTATAGTTACAGTCATTTCAGAATGATAGAATTTGAGAAAGATGTACCTGAGAACTATCTAACTTAGGCTGTTAATTTGTTAGATTAAGAATTAGGGGGACCAGCAATTGGCGTAATGGCTACGTTGCTGGACTCCCATGTAGTCAACCGTGGTTCGAGTGCCGGGAGTGTGTGCGTGTGTGCCCAGGATCCCGAGAGGAGAATGGAGAAGAAGGGACTGCAGCATGACCATCCCCCCTGGGGGGGTGTGATTTCTCGCTTTCTGTCTCTCTGTCTCTGTCTTTCTGGAGAGCGCACATGCCCTATAGCAAAAAAACCTCTCCGCAAAAAAAAGAAGAAATATGACTAAATGAGTTAAGGAACTGGCCCACTGCTAGAGATAGAAGAGTGAAACAAAGATGAGCCTCTAGGGTTGGCAAACTCCAAGTGGTAACTTGTCTGTATGGCCATAGCTTATTTTTCTTTAAGGCTCAAACTAAGAATTGTTTTTACCTTTTAAAGGGTTGTTAAAATGAACAAAGAAAAATTAACACCAGTAACTGTAGTTCACAAAGCTTAAAATATTTACTAGACAGCCCTTTATAGAAAAGTTTGCTGACCACTGTTCTATAGCTCAATAAACTAATTTTACCTTTTGCTCCAATCACCACGTCTCACAAAATAGCAACTCTCCTGATTTTCCCTTACACCTAAGTACCAATGTCTTAGTCATTTTGGTTCTATAAGCTGAATAGACTGAATCCTTTTCAACATCTTAAGAGCAAATCAGGTCAGTCGACTCCTTTGAAATATCTTTTGCAACCAATTCTTTTCTTTGAGTCAAAATGCTTTACTCACTGATCCTACAACAAAGGTTTTCCTGAGAGAAATGACATTCTTCTTTCCCCTCTTCAGAGATCCTAAAAGACTTTCTGTAAAGGTCTGGATAGTAATTATTTCAGCCTTTGCAGGTTTTAAGGTTTCTATTGGGATGCTTCAAGTCTACTTTTATAGAGAAAACACAACCAGAGGTAGCCATAGACGATATGTAAATAAGTGTGGGGCTGGCAGTGTTCCAATAGAACTTTATTAAAATAAAAAAAATAGTGAGACCAGCAGATGGCATAATGGCTATGTCGCTGGACTCCCATGCAGTCGACAACAGTCTGAATACCAGAACCAGCAGCTTAAAATTCATGCTGGGCATTGTGTGTGCGTGCCTGCCCAAAATCCTAAAAGGAGAATGGAAGAGAAACGACTGTGGCATAGCCATTTTGCTTGGGGGGCAATTTCTAGCTTTCTGTCTGTTTCTGTCTCTCCAGTGACTACACGTGCCCTATATAGAGCAAAAATCTCCCTCTCTCTCTCTCTCTCTCAAAAAAAAAAAAAAAAAAGAAAACAAATGGTAAGTCAAGTTTGCATGGCACAGTTTGCCAACCCTGATTTAAGCCACATAGTATATATATATATTTTTTTTGGAGAGGTTTTCACTATAGGGCGTGTGCGCTCGCCAGACAGACAGAGACATAGAGACAGAAAGCGAGAAATCACCCCCCAGGGGGGATGGTCACGCCGCAATCCCTTCTCCTCCATTCTCCTCTTGGGATCTTGGGCACGCACGCACATGCACCTGGCATGAGTTTTAAGCCACCGGGTCCAGGACGCGAACTGCGGTCAACTACGTGGGAGTCCAGCAACATAGTCATTATGCTAACTGCTGGTTCCATCCACACAGTATATTTTAAAAGCAGCTCAAGTCCCTTCTCCTATATGAACATTTTGAAAGTCATCCCTGGTCAACAGGAAAGTAGCCCTGTTCTGAATTTAATAAATTTACTATCTGGCCAACTAGTAACATGCTACTTCAAGGAGTCTCTTATATTGTTATACTCTTTAGCTTAATTCTTTTATTGTGATTGCTTTAGACTCTCTGGGACTCATTTACTGAACTAAAATTATGGACCCTGACTGGAAAAATTTAAAATATGACAACTCTTCACATATTATTCACAAATTTGTAAGGAGTCTAAGGCTAAGAACAATGTGTTACATACTTCTGTATCACTCATGGAATCAAAAAAACTACTTGACTCCAAGCGCAGATCAATCAAGACTTAAGTTCCATAAAACTTACTTGCAAATTTTAGAAGCAGAAGGGCCACTGGCTACACCATAGTAGTTAAAAGACACCGGAGCTGTGGCTTTTAATGGGTTCCTATGAAACCAATGGGTCATTTTCTCCAGATGTTTTCTATAGATAAAAAAGAAATGTAAAAAACTTAAAAACAGTTAATAAATGTAAATAGCATAAAATTATTTTTAAAAATTTACTACAGTATTTTACATATAAAGTATTTGACATAAAACATACATACAGAAATAAAATGTTTCACTGCCACAAATCAATCTTGTTTTAATTGACTGCCTATTTATGGTAGTCTATGTACAGATTAAGACCTATTAAAAAAACAAACAAACAGCTTTTGCATGTTTGCCCACAGTAACTTCAATGTCAATGTTACTGAGGTAGTAAGGTTTAAACTTTAACGTGCATAAAAATCACCTAGAGGTTGTGCGGTCTTGTTAAAATGCAGATTCTATAGGTAATTCAGTAGTATGGGATAGGACCTAAGATGCTGATGTTGCTGATCCCCATGTTATACTTTTGAGCAGCAAATTTCTGGCCTTTGGTGGAATAGCTGAGTGAGAAGGAAACAAGACCAGATGAATGTAATTTCCAAAACGGGTTCAAACTGTGACCCTTATTTACACTCCTAGAGCTACCTAAAATAAACAGATTTTAAGTTAATTATTCTTCCCATGTATTGCTGACACAAATGAACTAGTTATAACATGTATTCTATGACAAATACATTTTTAGTAAGAATCAATTATCTTAAAAGACCAAAAAAAAAAAAAATTGAAAACTACCTAAGTAAAATTCCAACATAAAAAAATTAAGTTCTGGGGCCAGCATGTGGTGAAGTGGTTAAGGGTGCTGGTCTCCCACATGGCCGACCACTGTTCAAGTCCCGGACCTGGCGGCTTGCTTTCTCACTTTCTCTCCTCTCTCTGTCCTTCTCTGGTCAATTAAAGTAAATAAATAAATGAAGTTAAATAATTCTTTTGAAAAAATTAAGTTCTAAACCTTATAGGCAAAAAAAAAAAAAAAAAAACTGTATGTCTCTTGCCTAAATATCTCCAGGTGGATAGTGCAGATAATACAGCTAAGAGTAGCTGAAAACTTAAACACGGCAGTTATATTACAGAAAGCAATGCAGGAAAAAATTCTGATAAGGTGTACTTAATATGAAGGCATTATACAAGGTTTTTTCTTATTAGAAAAATAACGTGGGTTCTGTTACAAAATACCGATGTTAAACACTCCTTTATGATACTTACTTATTCATGATAAAACCGGTTTTAGCAAACACCAGATAGTTAATGAATAATGTATTGTGTACCCAAAGGAAAATTAGGTAGGTTCATTTATGACTCAAAACATTGAACACGTCCTTGAAAATAAAATCTAAACATCTTCCATGTAAACCTCCTTTATAGCCTAAGTAAATATATCACCTACGTGCTTAATTGAGCCTTCTAGAGAGAATGCCATACTTACACCTGACTTTGTGAAAGCAAATTTTCTACAAATACTTCTTTTGAAGCGCTTCCCACTCCCTAAGTGAAAACGTCCTAAGTTTTGTGTATCTTTGCTTCAGGAACCAAACCCATGAAGTATTTGGTCCTCTGTCCCTGCCCCATTTTTGCCCTTTTGCGACGAGGGATACGCAAGGTGGGGTGGAAGAACGACACACCCACCCGCAGGTGCCAGGCTGCCTTCAGAGCCACCAGAACAACAAGCAGATCCAGGCTGCCACTTAACGCACCCGCACACGGCGCCTCTGATTTCGGACAAACGCCCCCCTACTCTGGAGGCACCAGGTGCCCCCCAGGACCCTACCTGAGGGCCGCTCCCGAGAGCTCAGCGTCTACTTCCTGTTTACCACCCAGGCTCTTCCTCCTGTGCCGGGCCGGTTCAGACGGCGGGCGGCAACCCGGCGCATGCGCCAACCTAGGGCGCCCCTCTCTTTCCAACAGGCATTTTTGTGGAAAGCCCATAGTATCAACCTGCGAGAGGCGGGCAAGACGACTGCCGAACGCACCCCCTTTTAGCTTGTTATTATGAGACCTCCAACAGCCAATGGAGACGCAGGGCAGGGGATTCGGCGAATCTAGCTGTTAATACCATTAACTCGCGGGGCCAATATGGATTTTTTCTTTCGTTTGTTTAAAGGCATTAAGAGACTTTTTTGGACCACTATGCAAAGGTTTATGGAAACTGGTGTAAAAGCGAATGTCTCTCTTAGAACTCCGGGGAAACGACAGGGATATTAGGGGGCGACGCCCAACTTCTGACAGCCTTACCGGGATCCTCAGAGTCTGTACGGCAGTCCTCTCGAAAGAAGAAAGGCAGTGTCGGCGTCCGCAGTGACTAGAGGAGGGAGCCGGAGGACAGAGACTACAGAGCCCGAGCGATAAGACACCGGGCGGGGGCCGAGCCGGAGTCACGTGGCCCGCCGGCCATGACAATTACCGAGGCGGGCGGG